GTTGCAAATTAATTCATTTCTTTATTGTTCAGAGTCAAGAAGTTGGCGTAAAGCCGTTGGTCCTGCGCCTCTCTCAGACTCTATTCCCTCACACATATGTCAGACTATATGTGTGAGGGAATAGAGAGTGCACCCGTGCTTTCGCATACACTCGGGCACTATAATCCTGTCCTGCGCAGATGGCTAATCTCAGTTGAGACGGACCGTCATGACCAAAATACTGTCTGGGGATGACGATTTGAATTATACCTAATATATAATTCAAATCGTCATCATCATCACCATGGCCTTTCCCATTTTATATAGAGCTCTGAGTTAGTTCGAGCTGTAAAGGTTAAGACGCTAATAGCACTAACTCTCGAAGCTTGGCAGGTGGTTTTGACCATAAGAGTAGAAGACCTTCACATCTTCCCGTTACTTTTCTGGGTTCCTAGTGTCAACGGGATGATGTCGACATCTATAAGAAGATATGAGATCTTTCTGACATATCCTACAGTCATCTCTCACGACACAAAATGAAGAAATTAAAATCCATTACGGATTCATGAACCCAATTATTGTAGTAACTTGTATTGTAAAACTTATTCCACAATCCTAATACAAAAGTAGAATTAAGGTTGAACTCATGAGATCGCGGCCATATTCCGTCAAATACATAGCGGTCTCATGAGGTCGCACCCACCCACAGCACTTTAACCCATAAAAACTTATGCATAGAGACTCTTTTTCTATGAAGAAGTTTGGCATTATATAATCAATATGAAATACTCAATATTATAGGGCAAAAAAAAAACTGTTATCCTGTGAATATTTATTTATAATCTACGTTTATTTCGTAGGCCATTTTCGCGTGAATGTTATTGTGTTGATTGTTTGATTTTTCTAGTGTTTTATTATAAAATTATAAGGATAGTTTTTATGTGAATATAATTTATCTTGTTACGTAAATAATTTCGAGTAATATATATTGAAATAATTGTGATTTTCACGCTGCCGACATTCGCTTGATATGTTTTGTTTTTGTTATCAAAATACAATAGTCTTTTTGTAATGAACTAAAACCTGATTTTTATATAGAGAATTTTATATCGATTTTATAATGTCAAACTTCTACATAGAAAAGTAGTCCCCAAATATAATTTTAATGGTTTTAAATGCTGCGGGTGGGTGCCGTCGCATGCGACCGCTCGGGATATGCCGGGCGCATGCGACTGCATGAGAATTTTGAGGGGCCTGAGGGGTTAATGGAAGGCTCATGTCCAACAACGAACTTTTATGGGCTGCTGTAGTAGAAAGTGAAGAAGTTGTCACCACGACTTGAAAATATATACTTAAATACTTAAAATACCTTTAAACGAGAATCTCGGAAACGGCTCCAACGATTTTGCATGGCATTTAGTATGCAGGGGATTTTGGGGGCAATAAATCGATCTTGCTAGGACTCGTTTTTAGAAAACTTTGTTTTATTCATGTTTTAGGATATAAAAAAAAACTGCTACAAATATCATTAGAATACGAAAGTAAATTTTGCCGTTAATTAAAAGGATACAGCTCAAATGAGATATCGGGTGGTGCGTAAATTATAGAATGCTGTTTCGAGTCCTAATACCTCCGGTCTGACTCTTTTTTTCCTTTTTTTCCTTCTTTTGTGAGAAAATATATTATTTGGAGCCCTTTTTCAAACTTAGTCATATTTCATCAGTTTATCAACTTTCCAAAAAAAATACCGAGAAAAGCTAGGTACTATACTTAAAAGCTAAAATAAATCTTTGCAGCTACTCTATGATTGTTTGTCATTAAGGTGTTATATAACAAAACACGAAATACGACTATAGTAGTGAGTGACGGGGGCGTAATTTATGGAAAACCTTAATACAAATAATATTGTTATTAGGCCACGAACTATTACACTGTTATTGCCAGTGGTCACGACACGGTCTACACAAATACAAAACAAATGAGTGTTCATAATAATTTATTCACGTGCTTTGTTATTTTGTAGCGACGTGTAATTAGCTACATAAAATATTGTATGCACTATCAAATCTGAAATATTAGTAAGTATTACACATTCAAATCTTCGATATTTATATATATATGACACAAAAAATTATATTAATTCGATAAAAAGCACGGAAGCGGAAAGAATGTAAAGCAGTTGGTCCTGCGCCTGATCTCTCTCTGGCCGAATCCGAATGGCTTCCCATCGGATTCGGATATCAAACATCAGAGAGTGTACCTATGTTTGCGCGTACACTTGTGCACGACAAGCATTTTATAGATATCTATGAACCACAACAACCAGTTACCATTTTTCTATAAAATAATAATTTCCATCTGCACAGATTTGAGATGGTCGCCGTGACAGAAATTCGGTCTTGAGAACATTACTTATATTCATTATTATTTTACTAGATAGTCGAAATTATTTTCTGTCGATTGTGTTCTGGTTTCAAAGATAGAGTCGGTAATAATTACGTATTAGAAGAATTCTTTGTGTTATGAGATGAACGTTCATACACTGCTGCGATCAAATTCCAAGAATAGTAAAATAAATATAATTATATTACGCCTTCTATGTTAGTTCTTAATTAAGTAGAGAACTACGCACGTTTTTGTTCGAAGTTGCTTGCAGTATTCATGGACTACGAGTATATTAGAGTGACATATGACTGATAAATAATTTAAAAATTGGTTGACCCATCCCATCCCATGTAAGCCATCCCTAGAACTTCCCGCTAATTTCAAATGCAAAGCGCCCCAAATTTCAGCAGATTATGTTGAATATGACATATCGGAGTAATTTAAAAAAATCTATTTTTTCAAAATACGATCACAGGAAATGATCATTGCGTGTTGTTTAAGTTTTTGTGAGCTCTTATATTGTTATATTTGTACATTATTCGGTTAGGTTACAAAATATTTACCTATTGACAAAACGAAACGCAGATAGAGAGTGATGTCCAGGTGGGTCCCAACGGAAAACGATTTCCACCAGAGTAACAAAATCTCACCTTGATTAGTCTTTTTGTACCGCAAATAAGTTACTTACGGAAACTGAGTTGTTGATAACTATATTATACCAAACACTGTTTTAAAAATTATATCACTTCTCGAAAGTACTAAAAGCTATTGCGTGAAAAAAAATAAAAATGAATATTTCATGGTGGTTAAATAACGTCGTCGTCCCAGGACATATTTGAATGATTAGGCTATTGTGTGAACGGTCACGGCTTTATTCGCGTAAATAATATTTAACGTAGTTGTTATTTGCGGCAAATGTAATTTATTAAATTATGTAAATGCGATTTGGTCTGCCTTTCGCCATCTTTTATAGTAAAAGTTATTGTATGACCAGCAACCTGTCATTGCTGTCACTCCGAGGGATAGATAGAGATTACATACTTCCATTTGGCATGATCTTGTCACAACTCTCACCTCTTACACATCCATTTATCAACGCATATATGCTGTTCGATAAATGATAATATCTTCTAGACAGAATTTCAGTCATGGCCGATCTACGCAGGACAGGAAAAACAGGGAACTAACTATCTCAAATTATCATATACTACGCAGATACGAGAATATACAAAATGATTCGTTCACTCGAAATCCTTCAAACTTACCAGACGTGTTTTTTTGGAGCGAATTGTTTATACACAGTGTTACCTACATTGGCGTAGATTGCTTCTAGATTTGCTAGACAGCTTGGCAGAATAGGATGTAGATGTTAATGTACGTGTTGCATTAATATTTACTAAAAGGCGAAGAAATCGGATAGAACGTCATACTATAAAGCTTAAAATGGACCGAGGTGAATTTAATCGCATGTTTTTAGCGACCATCCTGTATTTATCTGCAGGTAAAATCCTATGGCGTATTTGTATCTGCAGATAAAATCTGTATGAGTAGATATTATTGTTACTATCTTTCGATATATGTCGGTAATTACATAGAGAGCGATATTGAAACATGCGCTCAGACATAGATATTTTATCGTATCTGCGTAGTGTGTGACATGCTTAAGTCCATACTCTGAATATTCAATACTATAACCGTGTAAGGTAATTTTCTTTAGCAGTTACCGCAGGGCGTAAAAATACATTGACATTTTAGTGTTCCACGCTATCATTAATACTCATTAATTATGCCTTAACTGGAACGTACTAACGCTAATTCGATGGAATAATTTTATCGCCTTGACAAAAGGTTGTAAGGGAGACGTAACATTATAAACAACCTCAGCAAGGACACCATTCTACGAGTAATTGAAGGTTGAGGTTCTGCTTTATCATAATTATAATAAACGACTAATGGTCGTTTATCAAGGCATTACTTTATCTATTCTTATCTAGAGAAAAATCGTCAAATACAGAGCTTGCCTGTTTGAGGCTGCCACTCCAGAATTTTCTTACCCATCGGTTGCCGGTTTTTCGAGCTATATAGCTATAAGGGCCAACTATATAGTTGGTCCTTCATTTTGAGAATACAAACCAAAATTGTATAAATTTATAATTGGGAACAGCATTACCAGTTTAGTGGTTTTAGTCTCCCCTAAACAACGGGCCATAACCAACCGACCAATGGGCTGGAGGCCCAGTGTGTGTAGTATGGACGAATATTTCAGGTTATGTATGTAAGTCAGAGTTTTCTTAAAAGGGCTTAAATTAAATAGTGAATTATCTTCACAATTACTGGTTAAGTGTAATGGACACGGACTGTGAAACTCAAAAACCTTGGGTTCGAATCCATATTTTGACTACTGTTGTGAACCACCCCTTGCATAAGCATTTTAGTGAGAGTATTTAAAGGTTATTATTATTAATAATAGCGTTACAATACTATTTTACGTAAAGTAAGACGTAATAAGTACTTAATTTCTTTTCATTGTTTTAATATCTGAATCATAACTAGCCCGTAATCAGTCAAGAATTCAGTTATTTTGTCGCCTTAGACTTTATACAGTACATTTGTGACCATATATTGTGATATTCATTATGGACATATGGGGGCTTTTAGCTTTGAAGGAAAGCAGTGATAAGCCTGACAAGCGTGGTTATTGCAATAAATTCCTCTATAATGGAAGTGCTCACGTACAGAAGTGGACTATTATGCGCTCGTGTACTTTATTGAAAGATACTCGTTTATTAGGATCAGTCATTTTTTATGAAACGCAAAGTTCTTTGGTCAAAAATAAGAACAAGTTCACAGTTGTTAATCAACTGGACATAGAAAAAAAAATCGTACCAAAAGCGGATTGGCTGGTTGGTGCTTACACAATGGAAACTTGAGATGAATTTTTCAATTACAATTGTATTTATTCGTTTCTAGCTCCATATTAAATACATGCTGTAGCGAAAAGACGCCTACATCAATCCTTCACGCTGCTGTGTTTCGTATGGTGAGAGTAAAGAACTTAGAATAAGAAAGAATAACGAAGCAATCTACTGATGACTTGTTTGATGATTTTTTTAAATAGAATAAGAGTGTAATATACCAACATATAAAACATAATTAGTGGGTATATTACAGCTGCAAAGCTTTGAATAACGACTCGCCTTCAAACACATGCATTATCATTATATAGACGTAATTACTTCCTGTGTAGGAAATGGTAACCCAGTTAGGCATAATACGCTGCAGCGCTGAGCTAAGCACTAACGAGAGCAAACAAGTAATTTATTAATTAAATTGCTTTAGTTAAAGCGGGCTCTAAAGGTTTGTATGACATTTTGTATTTATGTCGTAGTCCGATCGTTAGAATTGGACAAAACGTAATATGCCTGGGCATTTCATGATATGTCGCCATGTCATGATTTCGTCGATAATTTATGACTTGGACTCCTGTTGATATAATGAAAGTACTAAAGCATCTATCTGATAATATCGGTGACGGCAAATAAATTAAATATAAATAAATTAAATTGCGGCTGTATTTATAAAGCTGCATACATTTTTACATAATACTAGCTGTCGCAGAAGAGATAATATTGTTGAAATATCATTTTATATTTGGAAGAGTTATATTGTTTAATTAGGAATGATAATACATTCGTTGAAGTTGAATGATATATTACTTGCAAATAAATTTGTTGGTACGATACGTCCGCCACCCACTGTAAGTTAATTGTACTATGTGTATTAGCTTCGCGCAAGTGTAAGCATTAAGTTGACAAAACATTACCGCAATCTGATAAACGATATGGCAGCGCATAAAATGTAAACATACAATTTTTTATATTAGATATAAACTAGGTATAAAATGTTATGGCGAATAAATTAGGAAACTAATGAAATGGTAATGTATCAAAAAATGCCCAGGCAGATTACGATCTGCCCAATTCTACGAACGGACTATGACATTTCGATAGTGTATTACTTTCCAAGTTTATCTGGACGGGTCAAGGGTGAACCTGAAAAAAATATAATATTTTTTTCAACGACGAGAAAAGCTTGTTTGCCCATGTAATTTGCCTTTAAATAGGGTATTAGCCATAGAATTGAATGTACGAGAATAAATAATATTTAATATAAATTACGAGTAATTTTTAGTGGAATTAATTTTTTTAACACTCGTTCGGAAAATACCTTTGTACTGGAAAGAACCAGCAAGAAACCCAGTGGGACTTTCACTAATTGCACAATATTTATTACTTACTTTACTTACTAATTTATTTAAACTTTTACGGTTAATATAACCGTAATAAGTTTCGCTGTCACTGCCCGGTTTTTATAATCAAGGGACGTTCTGTTTTCTCTTTGCCTGTGAAAACGACATAACGCTTCTTCTTTTATTTAGAAAATGTTAATAAACAGCGTAGGCAGTCATTTAAATAGACATTTACACGTCAATTGTCATTTATACGTTGTAGAGCCATGTTTCAGTTATATTGGTGCATGAATGGGCCGGCTCGACCGGGAAGGACCACATTCTCACAGGATAATAGCGTAAAATAGTAGCTTAATTGTGCTGTGTTTCCTATGGTGAGTGTAGAGAACCGGAGACCCGTTTTACTGGAAACGAGGCATTCCATCTTATTCCTCAAGGGTCACAACGCATCTGCATTTTGATTCTTAAGCGAGGTTAAATGTAAATGTATATGGGCCACAGCATCCACTTACCATCAGGTGGACTGTGTGCTCGTTTGTCACCCTTATCCTATAAAAGAAAGTCTATACCACGTATACATTTTCTAAACAATTTTTTTAATTTTTATATTCGATTTATACACTTCGTCGTTGCTCTATACTATTAAAGAGTTAATTGTAAATTTTTATGAATTAAAATCAAAAACTAACAAAAAAGTTACTTCTCAGATACACTGCAATGAAGAGACATATGCTTTTTACTAGAAGGATAAATAAATATTTTATGTATTGCGATTTCCTACGATAACGTTATCATCCCAAGGTGACGTGTTTGATAGATTAGGTTATTACGTGACTGTTTGTAACCGGCCGTAAATATTTTTTCTTTTTTCGGTAAATACAATTGAATGATCAAAGAATTGGCACTTTTGGTATATTTATATTAGTGAAAATCACATCTTAATTTACTTAAACAGATTTTTAATTTTGTTTCATTTTTATAAACGTGAAAATAGAGCTTTAGGGGTTGCTAGCTCAGTGACAAAGCATTTGGCTGCGGCTCTGCGGCCGTGGGTCGTAGGTTAGAATCTCGCACAGAACATGTATTTGTTCGTAGGCCATTCAGAAAGTTTTGTATTGTCCTTAATTAACACCTACCGACGGTAGAGAATGTCATATAGCATTAAGTTCATGCTTTGTAACGCCTAGTTGAAGGTATGTTGCAATAAAAAGATAAATAAATAGACAAAAAAAGATAAATAAATAAACAGATAAATAAATGAAAATTGCGAAAGTTCTATGGCATTATGTGTTTTATACTTATAATAGTTTTAATAATAACATTACTGGTGTTGCATGTTGTGTTTAAGGGGACCAGTAAGCTTTTTTACTGGAAACGGGGAATTCCGATAACAAAGATTCTTAGTCGCAATCGCATCAAATCGATTGTGTGCTCATTTGTAACCCTTTATTGAATATGAAGAGCAATTGCCAGTTCATTTAAAATTGCAACTTACAATATAAGTGAGTCGGCAGAGATTGAAATCGTGTTGCTTATGATAGTGTGCGCAGGAGTAGCTTGACTTGATTCCTTATTTTCACAAAGCACGTTCCAGTACCACCAGCTTCCTTCGACTGCTTGCCTGTTTTACCAGGTCATCACTACACCTGGTGGGGGGCCGCCCCACACTGCTTCGATACGAGCACGAGGCTGCCACTCAAGAACCACTTATGTATCTGACACGTAGTCTTTCACTGCTGGCCGTATTAAGAAGCTCAAGCCTACGCTCGGAGTTTCACTGCATGATATACTTAGAAATGAGGATGTCCGCAGTAGAACTAGAGTAACCGACAAGGCCTAACGGTTTTGTAAGTGGCAATGTGCCAAACATATAGCCCAAAGAACTGACAACCGATGGTCAAGAAAGGCTCTCGAGTGGTATTATGATAAATCATCATTTACCATCAGATGGAATATAAGTCAAGCAATGACTTATTTTAGGCAATAAATGTACGAAAGATTTTCAAGGCAATGGCGGACTATTAAATATGAATTCTTGTTTAAAACAGTTTTTCTTATAAATGCCTAATTCATTGCTATTAAATACCTCAAGAAGTTCAGTTCCGTGATTTTAGCCTAAAAGCAAAGTTTTAATTTAATTTTTCAATCCTTACTTCGAGAACAAACTAAAGAACTTCCGCTACCAGACAAAATTGCGAACGAATTGTAACCAATTAGGTGAGACTCAGGCTGTAACAATGGAAGAGATTTTTTTAAGCTTTTTAAATTAATTTGTTTCAAGTTGATTATGTTGATCGTGTAATGGCGGTGTAAAAATATCCACTGACTCATATCGTCCCGTCATCGCGAGTATCATAAGAGGTGACCGAGGGAGATAAACCAGGAGGTGAGCGGGAGCGTTTTCCTAATTGCATCCAAAAATAAATAATAAATTTCGATTGGCAACCCGCTTGCCAAGAGTGGCAAATATCCCCATATCATTATAATAAAGCACTCTTTTTCAATATCGTCAGAAACTGTGCAAAGTTTTCGATCCTCAGTCAGCTGGGCCAGCCCACAGGTCAGGTCCTTCAGACCAAAACCGTAAACTAGCGTAAGCTTGAGGTAAAACTCGAGTCTATGACCTCCTCGCACATAGACATGATTCCCGACAAAATAGACTGGCCAGAGGAAGCCAATAAGCTCACCTCAGCGGTCGAACAATGCTCTCAAAAGGTTCGCTTGTCGAGCAGTCGACACCTGAAGTTTCCGAGTGATATTCGACAACTGATCAGAGCGAAAAACGCGGCCCTTAGACAATACGCAATCTCCAAAACGAGTTAAAAGAGCGCATTGAAAAATTTAGAAAGGATAAGTGGGATAATCGTCTAGAAGACAGCGAGCCATCCCAAACTGCCTTTTGACAGTTGACCCGAGTTCTTAAAGCAGATCAATCCTCACCCGTGCCACCTCTCATTAGGCTAGGAAACCCCGATCTCGCTTTTGACGACTCTAAAAAACCGAATGCCTTGCAGACAGTTTAGAGAGCCAATGCACTCCTTCTAGCGAACCATAGATCCCGCTACCATCCGTAGACCCACCATAGATCCTGTGATTATTGTCAAAGTCACAGAAATCATCAAAAACCTTAAAATGGAAGCACCTCGCCCTGACGGCATTAGCAACAGGGTGCTGAAATCCCCCTCAGCGCCAATTATCTGCCTCCTAGTAGGCATTTTCAACGCTCTTATCTCCAGCTGCTACTTCCCGGACGCATGGAAAGTAGCGGATGTCATAGGAATCCCGAAACCAGGGAAACCACGCAACCTAGCCTCTAGCTACAGACCCTAAGCACACTGGGGAAAGTTTATGAACGAATAACAATAAATCGCTTCCGTAAACATGTACTTGTCTACAAGCTTATTTCTGTCGAACAGATCGGTTCCAGACCCGATCACTCGTGCACTAATCAGATCTACCGCGTTACGGAATACATCCTAGAGGGCTTCTCCCACTCAAGGAGTAACGATAGAATTCGTAACACTGGTGCCCTCTTCTCCGATGTCGCCAAAGACTTCGTCAAAGTCTGGCACGACGGCTTGCTTCACAAGCTGTTTCAACTTAACGTGCCCGATAGGCTCACTCACATCATAAGAACCATCCTTGCCAACCACCATTTCCGTTTTCGTATGGAGGGCACTC